GTATGTCATTAAAATGCCTCTTCCATGTCGTTCTATCTGTTAGTTATGTGGGACCAGTGTTCTGACATGGAGAGCATTTCTTTCTTTTATTGCCAGTTCCATAGATCTCTCTCTTGAGAACTGTGATTTCTCCTTAGTGAATCATGACAATCTTATGATAGTAAACTGGAAGTCCCCTGAAAAAAAGGTATATCAGCCATCATTCTGTCCTCTGTTAGGGAGGACACCACGACATCACTCTAGGAACCACTGGATTCCATGTTAACGGGGTCACCTGGATTGTGTGACACAGCTGTGAATGGTGAACTTAAAATGGTGGTGGTGGCTTGTTTCTCTTTGTTGGATCTTGTGTGGGTTTACTTCCCATGGTTTTAGTGGAATTACAGACTCCACAGGCTCCCTTTGCCTTGTGCTTCCTTATTGGTTTTTTTTTTTTTTGGCTACTGTGTGTCTTTTTTTTTTTTTTTTAAATTAGCACAGCTGTGTGAGGCTGTTCTAATCATCCACCCTCTTTCTGTCAGTGTTGTACTATGTCAAACGAGTCTATATTTTCATCTGGCAGTGACGAATACACTTATTAGCCTGATTGCATCCTTTGGTGATTGACTTTTGCTGCTTATCAAAATACAAATGGTATCTGTCACTCAAAATTTGAGCCTAGAAGTATGCAGACCTGGTAACCCACTACCATTCAGAGCCAGATGCCCAGTCCACAGAGAAGATGCAAATAAGAAACTGATTTGTGAGGCAAAGGAGGTTGAAATTCAATCTCATTTCTCCTTTAATAGCTTATTTCAGTTACTTGGTCCTGCTCACAGTGAAGACTGGGCTTTATAATTCCATCTGTGTGCATGGCCTGCCTTGTGCATGTAGCAGTTGCAGAAGAATCTAGGCATTTTATAGTAGCTTCTTGCAACTCTGAGTTTGAGTGGAGAGCCCCCACTCTAAAAGCAAGCCTGCTTAACATTCTCTTTGGCCCAGCTTAGTGGTTCCCTTTACCTGCATTTCTGGGATAGACCAGGAGCAAAGAGGGAAGTGGGGGTTAGAGATGAGGATGTTCAAAATAACTGGAATACTACAAGACCTTGTAGAGTTAGCCAGGGAGGCCCTCTCCCAACCCTGATCATGAAAGCAGTTTATGTTTTATTCTGTATATAGTTTGTCAAATTTATTTAACCTATGTATCTTTTAAAGTCTTAATGTTATTTAATACCTATAATTCTGTATTTTGTTGATTGCTATATTTTCATTTCTCAGTCTTTTAATATTTCTCTCAAAGTTGCTTTCTGCTTTCTATCCTGACTTAATTCCTGTAATACTCAGGCTAAGAAAGGCCCTGTCTGAGTTCACTTTTTTTTTTTTTTTTTTGTAGATACAGTGTTTGAACACAGGGCTTCAAGGTTGCAAAGCAGGTGCTCTACCACTTGAGCCACACCTCCAGTCTAAGTTTACTTTTTAAATTTTCCATATTGGAAAGTTATCTTCTTCTTTTCTTTAAACAGGGTCTCACCATGTATGTAGCACAGGGTGGCCTTGAACTTGTGCTCCTCTTGCCTTTTGAGTGCTGTATATTTTCCTTTAAATTGATTGATTCCTGGACGAAGCCTAAAGACTCAGGTCCCTGAAGTGAATGGTTAAGTGGGGCAGGTGACTAGAATCACTGGTCCCTAAAAGCCTGAGTAGGGGAGAAGGGTGTCCTTTTTTTCCCTGCCTGCCAGGAGGAAGGTTCAGAAAACAGGACTTCTCACCAGGAACTCTAGAGCTAAAAGAATGTGGCTGTAGGGCTGATGCAGAAGTTTCAGAGTTGGAGGTGAGGATGCGAATGGCTACAAGAGCTGGAAGGAAAACTTACTTACTGATTTTTAGTCTAAGAAGCCTAATTCACATGCAAGCTTCTCCTGGAGTGAGGCCTTTCCAGATCTGTGGTGCTTTTCAACTGGTATTCCAAGTATGTCCATCTGCATGTAAACGAATTGCTCCAAGACAATCTGATTATGCAGTAGTTACTTTGGTGAGAATAGCGCCTCGGTGGAATGGAAACTTCATTTTGAGTCTAATATTAGACCTTGCTTTGGAAAATTCCTTTTAAATGATCACAAGCTGGGAATAGCAAAAGAATTTAACTTTCGACAGACAGCATTCACCAAGAATTTTTAACTGCTTATGTTGGGTCCTTGGGAAGGCAGATGTGAGAAATTTACCGGACAGGGTCTCTGGACCTGAGTTGACCTGACCTGCTGCAGAGTTTCTATCTGTGGCTGATAAGTTTTCCTCCTTGTCTCCTTTGTTCAAAATATTTTCATTCTTTGAGCGTGAGCATGCTAGGGATGAAAATTGTTAGGATGCCTAATTGTCTAACAATCCAGATTTCTAGGTCCGCCAACACTGCTGCCCATACAGGGATCTGAGGCAAGGCAGAAACTGACTGCTGAGCAGAAAAGGGACCAAAAACACACAGAACCCAAGCCAGGTCCTCCTCAGGGCTGGGAACTCTATCAGACCTGGCCTACAGAATATTTTTAGTTTGGCTGGATTGTTGTGTCTGCGTCAACTCACCTAACTTGTTAATTAAAGCTTATTTAAAGCCCCCTCCCATCATACCTTGTCATTTGCAAAGTTATATAAATGTTTGAAGAGCAATAAGAAATCCATTTACATGTTAACATAAACAATATTTTATTAAATATATTCTCCAAACAAAAGCAGAAGGGAAATGTTAGTGTTTTTCTCTTTGCATCTCTTTTATTATATGACTGAATGGAAGCAGCTCATACTTCCACACTCAGTCTGTGCAGCGTTGTGTATAGTTGAGTATGTGAAGAAAATCTAGCCTCACACAGGTATGTGTTTGGAAAAGGGAGGCATATCTTAACAGCCTTTGTGGACAGCAGCATGTATTCTTTGATACTACACCAACCCTCTCTAAGTACTAGTCTAGTCTCTCTCTCTCTCTCTCTCTCTCTCTCTGGTGGGACTAGGGTTTGAACTCAGAGCTTTGCACTTATAAAGCAGGCACTCTACCACTTGTTGAGCTACACCTCCAGTCCATTTTGCTCTGGTTATTTTGGAGATGGGGGAGGGTCTCATGAACTGGTTCAGGCTGGCCCTTGAACTGAGATCCTCCAGATCTTAGCCTCCCAAGTAGCTAGGATTACAGGCATAAGCCACTGGCGCCTGGCTAAGTAGTACTTTCTTAAAGGTTAATTGCATTTCGAATCTGAAAGCACACAGTAGACTTTTTGTACTCCATTCCATTAACATCCTTTGCTCTGAAATCTTTGCAGAAGAATTCAGAGGAATATATATAGATATCTCCTCTCCAAATAATATGTAGATACCCCCATTCCAGACAGTAGAACTTAATTTCTGCTCCCCACTGCTCCCTCGGGGGCAGGTTAGACTAAATGACTTGCTTCCAAAAGTAGAATTAGGGCAAGAGAAAATGAGTGGCTGTATAGTGGAGAAAACATGGGAAATGCCACCTTAACCAAATGATGAACCATCTGTAGTGGTGGGAGGGTATCCTGAAATCCTAATGCCCAAACTCGGTGTCATCATGAAAAGAGCCTCAGATGTACCTAAGTCACAGGACACTTTTCCAGGACACCTGACCAGTACCCCTTGAGATTGTCACCATCCTGAAAAATGAGGAAAGACTGGAAAGCTGTCACAAAACAGGAGGCTGGGAGATGTGATCCCCAAAGGCAGTGTGGTTCTCTGGATTGGTAATGAAACAAAAAGGATGCTTTTGGAAGAACTGGTGGAATTGAAATAAAGTCTGGAGTTTATTTAATAGTAATATGTCAATGACAAATACAAGGTGTGACAATGGGGAAACTGACTGAAAAGTCTATAGGAACATTCTGTACTGTGTTTGCAACTTTTTTATAAGTCTAAAATGTTTCTTTAAAAAAGAAAATCCATTGCTCTGCCTTATACTGTGAATGGATCATTATCTGTACCTGATTTTGCAGTGTCATTGTCATAGTAATTTAAAAAATATTGGTCCACTAAATTATTCAGATCTTTAAAAAGTTGATGTATTGCAGTATTCAATATTTTAAAAGCTGCATTCATTAATATCACCTGTCCTATCAAAAGAGTCCTTAACTGTTGAGAAGCTGTTAAGCTCATAGTGGTTAGATACAAATTTTCCCAAATTCTAATTTTCCATTGAAATACCAATCTTTATCTTTGGCAGCAACACTGCCCATGGTTTCCTTGATTCACAGGCTTATTCTCATAAAAATGTTGCCCAAATACCCACATCTAAATCACTGTAGCTATCCTTTCGAGTGAAAGTCATGGCCAGTGAAAAAAGCGGCAACTCAGCTACACAAGTGCCTTTTCCTCAAAGCAGCTGTCACACTTCAAAATGCAATAGAAGTGTTTATGGACTGTCACATTTGGCCAAGTAGATCACGAAGAGCCACGTACTCAGGATCAGGATCTAATGGGATGCATCGTTTTTACCGCTTTATCCGGGGCGTTCTTAAGGGAAACAGACTCTTCCCTCTTACTCTGTGCAGCGGTGAATTGTGACCACTGTCCTGTTAGTGGCCGCAGCCTTGCTCTGGGCCAAGTAAGTGACCTTTGTATCATCAGTTCAGGTATTAATATACTGAAAAAAGCTAATAACATTTTAATATTCTTGGGAGAACAGTTTGATCTCATCAACCTCCTAATGGTCTTGGGATCCTGGAGGCCTGTGGGCCTCACTGTGATGCTGGTGTGTTAGACGAAGGGCTGAGGGCACTAAGGACCACATCCATAAGGAAGCAGAGGACCGGCGCAGGACAGTGTGGGAAGATGATTTCCTGCTTCTAATAGTTCAGGAAGCTTTTCCATTTGGAAAGTGCTGAAATACAGATTGTAGAAATTTGTTAGCAAATTTGGGCTGCAAAAAAAAAAATTGCTATTTTTACAATAACCATATATGAGATGTCATTCAGAGAATCCAGAAAATTACCTCTTGTTTTCTTTTCTTTAAAGGTAAATCTCACCTGGCCATTGTGCAGCGGGTCAACAATGAGGGAGAAGGAGATCCATTCTATGAAGTTCTGGGAATTGTTACCTTAGAAGACGTGATTGAAGAAATCATCAAATCTGAGATCCTAGATGAAACAGATTTATACAGTGAGTAGCAGTGTCGAAGTGCAGTTTCTCAAAACCTTTGCTTTTTCTGTCAGGTTGTTTGTGAGTCATCTGACATTTCTCCCCGTATTGGGAGCCTCTGTTTGTAATTAAGCATGATGTGTGTAGGAAGGAACAACCTCCCAGTGTATTCCAGCCTCTTTACCGAGGGGGCTGAAGAGGCGAATTCTGAAATGTCAAGTGGCAGTGTTCTTTGAAAAGTCAGCTTCTCTTCACCACGAGTCTGCCTATTATTTGTCCAAAACAGAAAATTCTGCTCTTAGTTTTCAACTGTATTTCACATTGTTCATGCTAGATTTTCACTTTGCACAACTAGGCAAAGTGCTTTCAAATAAATTTGTTTGTCCTGAAGTTATAATTCACATATTAAAAAGTGAGTGGGATTTGTTAGCTGAAGGATGACAGCTGAGTAAAAAGCTCCTGGGTCAAGGATGGGGGGAGGTGTGCTGGCATAGTTGGAGGGATGGCAGAGGAAGCAGGGACTGGGTAGGGACACAGTGAGAATGCATTTTTCCTGTCCTCTGCTTCTCTGCCTTCATTTTGGGGGCAGCTAGGGGTGCGGAGTGGTTGGATCAGGTTAGGGGAGGTGAGCATTCGCACCTCATCTGCCCAGGCGTGGACTTGATCCTGAGCTGAGTGTTAAACGCTTCAGCCTTCTTCCTCTGCCCCACTCTTAGCACACGCGGCTCTCTCAGGAGTTCACACCACCAAAGAGGCCCAAAGCCCGGGAGGCTGGGGCCTCCGGATGAGGCTGAGGAAGAGCACTGGGGCTCTGTTTTTCTCTTGGCTTTGAAACATGTCTTGAGGAAGACATGCATGTCCCAAAGGGCAGAGCCTGCCCTACTCAAGGCAGAGTGATTTCATTCAGTCTTTCTAGAAGGAAACATTCCTTATTTTAAAATTAATGAAGTCTTTTGTACACTCCTGAGAGAATAAATTTATACTTAGCTAATGATTATCTTCTGAAAATGTGTTCCCCTTTTTCTCTCACACCTGTATAGGGTTGTTGAAAACACTGTTTCCCATGTCTATTTTATGATCTTGACACTTGGGAGGGTAGTCAGAGGCCTCGTAAGAGAGAATATTGTCACTTGTGTTTGATGTTCTTTTTGTCCTTCCTCACAAGCCACCATTTAATACCTGGTGTGTATCTACATTTTCCAGGGGTAGAACTTGTCATTAAATAATGTTTGAGATCTTGTGTACTTGGGTTTTAGAGAAATGTTATCGAACTTCTTCTAAATCTGACTTCACGAAGAAGTGTTGCCCAGGACTTTGTGGTTTTGGGTATATTCAGTCTATACGGGAGATCACCAGTGATGACAGCCAGTCCATTAGAAAGTTGTTTTTAAGTTTTGTATTGAGTTGGAAGGAAATACAAAGCGTGATTGCCTTCTCTCCACAAAAAGCCTCGTACTCAATCTGTTTTGCCCTGGGCAGGAAGTGATGGTTCAGAGACAGGATTCTTGGGGATGGAGCAAGCAGAGCAATTAGGGTCCTGTCTTTAAGCCAGGTTGTTCTTCAGTCAGAGTATAATTACTTTCCAACACGTAGAAATGAAATGAAATTCCAATTTCCATGTCCATAAATAAAATTTCATTGGAATATAACAGGGCATTCATTTACACACGTCTGCTTTTGCTGAAAGGTAGCATGGAGTTTTTGCAATAGAAGCTATGTAGCCCCACCTGAAGGACTGACTCTGTGGCTCTTTCCTGAGGACGCATACTGACCCCTGTTGGGGTCACCTTCATGTTTGCTTGACCTTCAGGATCTCATGATTTGGGATAGATTATAAAAATAGTATTCCATGAGTGTTTTTTGTTCTTTGGGGGTCTTGTTTATGTGTTTATTTTCTTTCAGCTGAGGCTGGGGGTGAGGGGCCCTCAAAGGCAGGGACAGCTTCCTTTGCATGTAGCCCAGTTGTGGTTCTTCACTGGAGTGTGGTGACACTGAATGGAAGGAGACCACATGTGCACTTCAAGCCACACAGTCTGCTGCTGTGTTGTAGGCTCTGTGAGGAGTTTTGTTCCCTTCTGCCCATCAAGAGGTCTCTAATGACCTTCATGAGGTCTGATCAGGTTACCTGCTATGACTTCCTGTGGGATGAGTGGTGATTGTGTTCTGTGCCAATTTGGTGGGACTTCTCCCCTTCCTCTCCACGTGAGTCATCTGTAGGCAGTGCCCACCCCTGGAGAGAGTAGACTTTCTGGTGCGTTTCGGCCTTTCTATCTGAAAAGGACTCTTTTCAGATAGATAGGCTGCCTTTCCTTATATATATTTTTTTCTTTTCTCATTCCTCCCTCAGCTGATAACAGAACGAAAAAGAAAGTGGCCCACCGTGAAAGAAAGCAAGATTTTTCTGCCTTTAAGCAGACAGACAGCGAGATGAAGGTTAAAATATCCCCGCAGCTTCTCCTGGCCATGCACCGTTTCCTAGCAACAGGCAAGTGTGCTTGTCACAGTTGGAGATCTCTGCCAGCCCCGGAGCCTTTTCTCACCATGCTGACTGGGGGGCTGGGGGTGAGGTTGGGAAATGGGGTGATAAGTAATGCCACTTTTGTATTTTGTTTTTTGTTTTGTTTTGTTTTGTTTCTCTTTAAATTCTCTCCTCTCCTGTGTTCAGTGTCGGCATGAACCCTCTGAGACATTTACCAGGGGTGGACCAGTAACTTAAAATTGGTCTGAAAGGTAAGGATGAATGTTAGTGCCACGCTGCATGTGTACGGTAGGCCAGGTCATCCACTCCCAGCTAAGTCCATGGGCAAGCCAGCTGGCGGAGTAGGCTGACAGTGCAAAGCAGACACCACCTCGTTTGATTGGACAGTTGAGTAATTCTCTCTTCAGCTTGCCTTGGAAGAACAGTTGGACCTCAGTGGGAACGCAGGTGCTATGATTTGCAAAGAAGAAGTATAGATTTTCAGAATTAAATTTTTGTCTTTTACGGTTTTGATGAAATGAGAGATGGTAAGGACTTTGACATGGATTTCATGGTGGCCTCTTCCGATCAGATTGTTAACTTGGGCCCAGGCCAGCCGGCACTGACACTGCTCCAGAAAGGTCAAGGTTGAATGGACTTAAGAGACTGACTAACCCTCTCACATCCCCAGATGGCCCTCTAGGTGAAGGGTGAGCTCTGTTGGCCAGGGGAAGTGCGAAAAATCTGAAAGTACCCAGAGGCTTGTAGAAGACGTCTGTTTCCAAGATGAGAGCCAGTACCTTTCAGCTGCACCCAGTATACTTAAAATATTTTGAAAAGAAGGCCAACAGCCACCTGATGGGATGTTACCTACACTTTCAGATCATGTTTTCTGATACATGGAAATGCTCACAATTAATATACACAACATGACTTAATGTAAAGTGGGAAAAACCAGGATATAAAAGTATGTGTACATTGATTATTACTGTGATTTTGTGGGTACACATACACACACATAATACAGGCACACATGCCTAGGCAAAGCACTGGAAAGAAATACTCACCAAATTGCTCTAAATGGTTATCTAAGTGGTTGGCTTAGAGTTAATTTTAATTTTCTTTATCTTTTTCTGTATTTTCCAAATTTTCTGCAATGTACTATCTTATTACAAAACAATAAAACCTCACAGAAGTAAATACAGAATTTATAGCTTTCATATATAGCACCTAATTTACAAAATAAAAAATGATTTCCTTAACTTGCTTATTATTCTTTTTAATTCTGATACTACTGTTCCTCATCATTGAAGAATCACACAGTAAAACTGAATGTTATCCTACTCTGCCTCTGAGAAGTCACAAAGGCCACGTTTTCCATGGCCCCCGTAAGCCAGTAATTTTGATTTTTGTTATTCTAAATAAAGTTACTACCTTTGTAAATGCTGACCAACATTACTTTTTTTTTTGTTGGCAAGTTGGAGTGCATGTTGATGTGTGCACGGCCTTGCTTTTATTCCGAGTCTCTCCCTCGGTGGTCCCTGAATTTCTTAGGATAGTGGCGTGGGTGAGCGAGAGGTGGAGCCCTGTGTCTGTGCACCGGTACTAACCGCCCTCAGTGCTTGCCCACCCTGGCTTCCTCCCTTGGCTGTTTTTGGACAGTCAGACTGTTGTGGCTTGTTGGAGGCGTCCTGGTGTTCAAGGAGCCTGCTGCTGGTTGGTTTTCATTCCCGTCAGCTGGAAACACAGGGCACTTTTAATGGGACTGAACCCCGTGACAGGTTGAGAGACTAAAAAGGAACAAATATGAGCATTCAGCATTTTCTAATCTCTCCCAGGTAATTTTCCCCCAGTGGATCACCAAATGGAAGTCTCATTCATCCATGTTATATCACTTTGATGCCAAATATTCTCACTATCTGAGCACCTTAATTGCTGGCATGATCTTTTCCATCCGTTTGAAGTGTAATGTCAAGTTGTGTTTATGTCTATAGAAGTAGAAGCATTTAGCCCATCCCAGATGTCAGAGAAGATCCTTCTAAGACTGCTAAAGCACCCCAATGTCATCCAGGAACTGAAGTATGATGAGAAGAACAAGAAAGCCCCAGAGTACTACCTCTACCAGCGAAACAAACCTGTAGACTACTTCGTTCTCATTCTGCAGGTCAGAGGAATTACTCAACAGTTGTTTGCCCTCACTGAGTACCCACCTTTCCTGCTCGGAGGAGGCCTGGTGTAGGTGGATGGGTGTAAGGTTTACATACTTACCTTTTTGTTTAAGGGGAGCATTTCATCTCTCTCTTTTCCTAACTGAAAGAATTCTAATACAAAACAATGCCATTAATTATTTGAATTTCCAATACTGAAAGGTGCTTAGGGATTGCCGAGATGCTGGGTCAAATGGAGAATGGTGAGTTTGGTTGTTGGTACTTTTTGAAGAGTCTGGGAAAGTACCTGTCCCTATCCAAATCTCGTGGGTATTTGAAGTTTATTGTTCCTTGGTCCTCTTTGTATCATTTCTTTTTTCCATCCATAATTAGGATAGGGACCAAGAGCTATCCTAGTGTCTCTTCCATTGTCACCATTCTTAGTATCTCTTCCATTAATGCCAGCAAAAGAATCCATTTATTGCTGGTTTTATCCCTGGGTACTAACTAGATTATGTTTAAAGAGGAACTAATATAATATGACAGCCCCTTGAGTGGCATAATCCTCTAGACGAAGTGGGGAGGCCATCCGTTCTGAGCCTTCTTTAGGGGCTGTGGCACTCAAGTGGACAGAAGGCTTTGCTATATCCCAGTTGCACTTCACAGGCCCTGTCCTTGGTGTGGAGGCCAACATGGGCATTTCAATGAATAAAATCCTAGTTTTGTGGATTTATTGTACCTCTTTATTGATGAATCACTTTTTCAGGAAATCTGAGGTCATTCGAATATGAGAATCCCATCCTCTTAATCTTTCTCATATTTCTTGTTGACTCCTAATTGTGAACTGGAGTTTCATTGCAAGAGTATGGTTAGTACTTGGGAGGACCAAAACTGTACACGAGTCCAGCAAGACCCTAGTTATCTAAATGAATTAAGAAAGTCATTCTCATTTGAAAATAACTCTTTTCAGATGTGTAGCCATCAGGAACTCTGGCAGATGTTGTGATCATGTGAGTCCCGTGTCTGGGTCATATTGTAGTGTCTGTAAGCAAGAGCAGGGGGTGGAAAGACATCTGATTAGCTGATGACATGCCACTTTCTTTCAGGCTATCATAGAAACTTCTGTTTCCAGGCTTACTAACTCAGTACTGTGGTTCTCTATTAACTGCAATCTTACTTGATTGCTTTGCTTTTTCTCTAAAAATATGTAAGCTCAAAACTCCAAGGGCACTGTAGGGAGTTTATTTTATTGATTTCAATGAAGAAACAAAACATTCATGGTTCTCATGAAAGCTAGGTGTGGCTATTCCTTAAGCCTAGAGAAACTGGATTGCAGTAATGTCTGTTATTTAGGAGAATTTTGAGGATCATGATTGTGAATTTCAGTGGTAGCAACAGGAACCATGGGGCTTTCAATGGCCTATTTTTATATAGTTAGCACTTATTTAATTGAGACTCAGTAAGGCTTTACTGCTGCATAAGCCATGGATCTCAAGATAAAGGTTATGGAAAAGGGACTTTAGAATCCCTTCTGTTTACAAGACGGTCTTTTAAATAAAGGTATTTTTGATAAGTCATTTATGAATATCTACTTGTATTCGAATACCTCCTTATGTTAGATATTTACATAAATGTGGCAATTTGTTGAACGGATGATGCTGTGGGAGTTATGTAGACAGCGTGCGCTTACAGACAGGCCTGTGGAGGTATTTAAGCTTCAGAATTTGGCAGAAGTCATTCTCTTGCAGACAGCCAGTTACCCGAGGTACGCAGAGAACAGCAGAATGAAATACCATGCCACCCCCTGTCGAGCTGGTGTAATTATCATTGTTTGCCAAGCACATGCCACCCAAAATGCTGCTACTCCAGGACTGGGAATTCATGCCAGAATATGGAGCGTGCTCCCCTGCGTTTCAGGAACATGCAGTCAGAAGGAAACAGCTCCTGCCTTCCCCGCCTGGCCTTCTCAGCTCAACAAGGCACTTCTCTGTGACTAAAATTATGCATAGAAACACATCATTTTTAGCTTAAGTCCTAAGTGAAATAAAGTGTAATTTGTTGAAAGCAAATGATCTAAGTAAACTTAATTAAATGAATATTTGGGGTCAGGTTGGTAGTGCATACCTGTAAGCCTCGCACTTAAGAGGCAAAGGCAGGAGGACAATGAATTCCAGGTCAGCCTGGGCTACACAGCAAGACCCTGTCTCAGAAAATCAAAACAAAAACCAGAGAGACAAAGTAAGATTTCTTACTATATATGCATAAAAGGCTAAAACTTCAAGTTTTATCCAAAAAAGTAGATTTTTTAAATGTACTGAGAGATTAATAAGGGTGATGATAATAGCACAATAAATCATGACAATTTTTATTGACTCTATATGCTTTAAATAACTACATATGCATACATACATATATATATAGAAGCAGAAATGGATGGAACATAGTTTTGATGGAAATGTTTTTCTACCAACATTAAAGAACAAACATACCAAGAAAAATGGTACAGTACTTCTAAGTTGCACAACCAGTGAAATAAAATTAACCGATTTGGAGAAAACCAATCATTTGTTATGTCACGGTATACATGCTGGTGGTATAAAGAAATCTCATAAAACCACCCACACAGATAATAATGAAATTAAATTAGGAATAAAAAGCACATAGTTCAAAAGTACTAAGCCTTACTAAAACTGTGATAAAGTCTCTTATATGGACTTATATGCAAGGCACAGAAAACTTATATAATATGTTCTCATTTCTGTAAAAGAAAAAAATACTTTTATAGAAATGCATCTGTATATGAAACTTCTCTGCAAATTTACTCAAGAAACTGGTAATAATTGTTCTCTCTGAGACTTGGAGGGCTGGAAATCCAGCAAAAGGGAAGCATTTCTCCCTTGTGTGGTTTGAATTTCTTACCATGTGCTTGTGCTCCCTATTTAAATAATCAAAAAAAGAACTAATGGCAAAATAAGAACCCTAAATAGCAACTGAATTAGGGGAAAATATATAGAATTTCTTAAAATAATAGTATATCATAAAGACTACTATGTTCATGTAAATCCTAAAAATGTAGTATATCAAAGTTTTTAAAAACTTTATTTCTCTAAGCAAATAAATAAAAAGATAACTATAATCATCGAAACAGCAAAATAATAAGCTAAAAGGACAGGTTAAATGGTAGAAATTGTTATAAAAAATAAACTCAAAAATGAAAAGGCTTTACAACCCATAAATAAAACCAAGATTTTATTCACTTATTTATTTATTTTTGGCAGTACTGGGGTTTGAACTCAGGGTTTGTGCTTGCTAGGCAGACACTCTACCACTGGAGCCACACCCTACCCCTTTTTCTGTAGTTATTTTTCAAGTAGGGTCTTACTTCTATGCTTGAACTGCAGTCTACCTATTGATGCTTCCCATGAAGCTGGGGATGACAGGCACACACCACCACATACAGCTATTTTTATTGGTTGAGATGGAGGGGGCGGTCTCACAGACTTTTTGCCCAGGCTGTCCTGGAACTTTGGTCCTCTCAATCTCCACCTCCAAGTAGCCAGGGTTACTGATAAGCCACTGTACCTGGCCTGGTTCTTTCAAATGTCTGCCTAGCAAGTGCAAAGCCCTGAGTTCAAACCCTAGTACCACTATCCAAAAAAAAAAAAAAATTAATAAAATCAGTATCCTCTTGGTGTAAGTAATGTGATAATCAATGTGAAAATGCAAAAAGTTCTCTCCTTACCTCCAAAAAAGCAGACAGAATAAAGGATTTGATGGAGAAGAAAACTTCAAAGAGCTCATAGTTTCTGTATTATGCAAAGAGGACTTAGCCAGGTACCAGTGGCTCTTGCCTGCTGTGGGGAGCAGATTATAAGAAGCCTATGAGAACTTGACATAAGCACAGCTGTGTCCAGTAATCTGCAGGCTGAGTTGGCCCAGCCCCAGCCGCAGAAAGGGGTGAGGGCAAAATGCAGCACAGCTGCTTTTCCGAAGATGTTTACACTCAGAGTAGTGATCGCAGGTTCCTCCTATCGGGAGTCCCCCCCCATACACTTGCCCACCAAGAACTGCTGTTCCACCTCCTTGTTTGCCACTGTGTATAAGAAACTTGTTGGAGGTGGATGAGGCCATTGTGTGTCTGTGAGTCTATGGACTGAGACTTTAAGAGTTATGCTAGAGATTAGAGGAAACACGGGACAGTGTGAGTCTAAGGACAAAGACTTTAAAGAATAGAAAAGAAGTGTGGTTTTAAGAAATAAAAAAGGGAGACTTTAAAGAATGGAAAAGAAGGAAGAAAGACATAAAAAAGAAGTAACGAGGCTGTTGGGTATCTCCATCCAAGCGCCCAGCCCACCTGACCCCAGCTTTCTGCATGTTTGTCTCCTGTTTTTTGTCCTTTTTGCATCTCCCATCACTCCTAGTTAGATTTCTAGGACAGCCTCGCACAGGTCGTGAGAGCCTGCAGTCCTAGCTATTTGGGAGGCTAAGATCGGGAGGATCAAAGTTCGAGGCCAGCCTGGGCAAATAGTTTTCAAGATCCTATCTCCAAAATAACCAGAGCAAAATGGACTGGAGGTGTGGTTCAAGTGGCACAGCACTTGCTTTGCAAGCATGAAGCCTTGAGTTCAAACCCCAGTACCCCCACCACAAAAAAAAAAGAACTTTAAAGCAATCATAATTTTTATCTTACACAAATAGAACAAGACAACATGATATTCAAATATGTTCTTTAAGGCTAACAGGGGCTCAATTCTAAAACCTAATAAGATTATGGGCCAGTTTCACTTATCAACATTGATGTATTATTTCTAAATAAAAAGGATGCAGAGAATAGCATATACCAAAGAGGGATTCATTGTGACCATTGTGACTGTGACTGATTTGGGTTATTTTAGGATCAAAAGTTAGTTTAACATAAGGACAACAAAATCAAGAAGTGCCACATTAGCAAAGTATTAAAAAAAAGTCTTATGTTTATGTCTATAGAAAATATAAAAAAGGCAATTGGCAAAGTTAA